AATTTCAATGGGAGCAACAGGACGGTCGAATGTTGCTGATTTTTTTTTACTTTATTTATTTGTGCTGTCTTTTACTGGGATCTATTTGAAAGAGTGAGTATAAACACAAATAATTACTTTATTTTATATGCTGGAATATGCAGAAAATAGGTTTAAATGTTAAAGAATTTCGTCAAGTCAAAGACAGTTGCATATAATTCAATTTTTGCTTAACGTAATGTGCATAAAAATAAAAGATTAAAACTCATAAAACTAATTTTAAAAAGAGGCTTTTCATTTTATTTTATTTTATTTTATATGATGGATCATGCATAAAATAGAATTGGGCTGAAAGGTCTATTGTGTTATTGAGTATTCAGGTTGTGTATCATGTTTTTGAAAAGTAACTATGTAACTAATTACTTTTAAAAATAAGTAACCAGTAAATTAATTGGATTACTTTTTGAAGACGTAATCAGTAATTAGTTACTAATTACTTTTTTCAAGTAACTTGACCAACACTGGTGATGATGTGCCCATCAAAATGAACTCCTGCCTCAGCCTGCATGGATTCTCAGCAGGAGCAGCTGAAGAGTTCAGGAGTCGAACAGCAAACATAATAGCCTCATTGGGTTTATTAATAGTGGACTGAAAGCTATCTTCATAAATAAATGTTCGTTTTTGTTTACGTGTGTTTTTCCCATTTGTTTTTATATACACCCTTATACACCATTTTGTTGTAAGTGTGCGAGGAACCAGATATGTTCACTTCATTGACCTTCATTTAACATAAAAAATGATACACTTTGGGGGAAGAAATTACACCCGTTTAAAAAAATAAACAAAATCCTGTAATCTGCTCCAATAACAGTCTAGATGTGGAATTCTGGATTTCCCTGCATTTCAGTGAGTGTCCTATAACCCACGCAGAGCCCATATTGCTTATTACGTTGCTTTGTTGCTGATGGTGGGTCATCAGTAGACATGGCTGCTATGGTTATCCTCTAATGAATTAGCGCTCCCTTTGGTAGTCGCTTCAGTTGCTAGCTGTGATGTGACATATAAAGGGTTGACCGAGAATCTGAGTCTTGCTTATAGACTAACGACTTGTCAATCACGAGGTAAAATGTATCTTTTTTATCCTCCTCTCTGACTCTTCAGGGGATCATATCCTAAAAGAAAACTTGATGTTTTATTAAATATTAAATTAAATATAAACTGTAAACTTGCCAGATCACTGAGAAAATCATCAGCAGTGTCATCTTCCCAGATTTTACAATCTGAGTCGCCTCATGATGGGCATCAGAAATATGACTTCAATTGTTAATGTGTGGAAGTCTTTTCTGCTGGTTCTCTGTTTGCAAGTGAGAAAAATTAAATAAAACAAAACAATATGTATTGTTTATGAGCCATTCATAACAACCTGAAAGGTTGGGAGTTTAAAATGCAAACCAATGGAAGCAGAAGTAGAAGTCTATAATGTCACAGAGCACACGGTGTCTATTACTGTGTAGTACTGTGTAACCATTGTACACAAGAACTTTAAAAATCTATAGTGTGTGAGGCTGTGTAAGTTAAGGGTGGCTCGCCCTTGTCGCCCGTGTGTAACAAACCATCTGTTGGGGGTCACGGATTTGACACCTTAGCGTTATGAAAGTGGGGAAACATACTCCTGGCTGAGCATGAGATTAATGCTTACAACTTAGAATCTCAGTTCTAAATGAAATTCAAAATGTTTTTTGTAAGTATGGCTAATGTATAATATGACTTCTAAGGCGCGCACACACACAAACAAAAACACAGAGAAGAAGAAGAGGACGGTGTCGTTTACCACGCATCATAAAAACGCAATCATTAATCTTCCAACTGTCTCTTTCTGTTCTGACTTTAGAGTCTTTGTTTGTTTACTGAGCCGTACTTTGGGAGTCATACTGTTGTGATACTGGGGAGAAAAGGGTAAAGTGTGAGAGACTAAACCATTACACACAAAACTTCAAAAATCTAAAGAGCGCGTGAGACTGTTAGCTGTTACAAACTATAAAAGGAATCTGGGTTTAAACAGAACATAGCAGTGTTGGATTAAGTGTAGGAAACACTAGTATAAGGTGTCAAAGGAGCTTGCAAAGAAAAGCGTCTGGACTTCTTTAAGTTACTTGAAGACGTGCAAACTTAAAGAAGTCCAGACGCTTTTCTTTGCAAGCTCCTTTGACTACGATGACCTGGATGACTGAGAACCTTCACAGACATAGTATAAGGTGTCTATGGAACAAATCTCCTTCAACGTTCACATTGACCAACGTTGATGACTACAGGCATTTGTCTCAGTCAACTGATTGTGTTTAGGGAAAAAA